CTTATCACAGCTCAGGACAAAGAACAAAAACAAAACAAAACAAAACAAACAACAAAACAGAAACAACTAGCCTTTCTGTCAAATGGTAAAAAATCACCTACATGCATCTATAAAGCTCTAAATTTTTTGTTATATCACATTTGTATAAGAAAGCAAAGTTTTTATACTGGATTCCATTCCTGACACAACCCTGTGGGCTATTTAGTGTCCAGTCACCCCACCTGACCTGCAGGTCTTTAAGAGGAAGCCACAGTAATCCCACACAGGCAAGGGGAGGACAACTCCACAATTAAAGTCCTCGATCAGTTTGAAGCAGGAACACTCTCGCTGTCAGGTGACAGTGCTAACCACTGTGCCACCATGCCACCCCCCTCTGCTAAATGTACTTAATGTATTAAAAGTCAAAGTACACATAATGCAGAAGAAATGTTTGATTTTCACAGCAAACAATATTATTGCATTATCATTACTGACACATGCAAGCAGCAGGTTTAAGTTTTAATGTGGCAGCTTTATGAGATAGAACTTGTTTTTAAAGCAATATTTTCACATTTTGGAAAATATGTGGTTTTTGCAGTGTTAGCTGAGGAGATTAGCACCACTCTCACATCTGTAAACTAAATATGAAGCAACACCTAGCAGCCAGTTAACTTTTGACACAATGGCCACTTGTAATCTTCTTTAATGGGGGATGTAATTTATGTTGCGTTCACAAAGTAATCAGTTAACTTCAGTTAAACTCATGAGCATTTTTATTTGTAAAGTGCCAAATCATAACAAAAACCATCTCAAGGCACTTTACGTAGAGAAAAACCCAACAAATCCCCCTTGAGCAGGCACTTGGCATTTCAATCCGTTAAGCAAGTGGATACTGATTTGTCTTGGAACAATAAAATAAAAGCCAGGAACACAGACTGATAAAAGAAATGCAGAGAGACTGCAGTGAGTTACAGATGCTACAGAGTCTAGACTGAATGTGATGTCATGGTTGCAGCTTCTGTGTCAGATTTTGTAAGCGGATCAAATGTTTTGGATGAAATACCTGAAAACTAGTTACTATAAATGTCGCTTAATGTAAAATAAAAATGAAGATAAGAAGTCTAAAGTTGTATGTAGTAAGGTAGTATGGAAATACTCAAGTACAGTATAAGTACATACAAATGTAGTTACATTCCACCATTGGCAGCATGATATATGGGTAATTATAATCCAAAGTGTTTTCACATCAAAGCTAAATGTGGAAGAACATCTGCCCATTGTTCCCAGTTGGAATGAGGTTTGGCACAGCACTGTGGAATTCCTTTAATTCCAGCATCATAGTAAAATAGTGTTTATCTTTCCTGGATGGTATTGTGTCAGTGTAGACATGGATAAAATAGTTCACAGTGCCTTTGGAATAAAAGAACATGTTATAACTTGTCTTCATAAAGTCATGTAAAGCTTTGTCTGTACAACCCCAAACCTCCCCTACTTGCACCTAGTCCCAGTCTCCGTTACATCTCTCTCAGGGTATAAAATATCCCTCTGTGGTTGACATTAACATTCACCCAGGAAACTCAATCAGTAGCCAATTCTGGTTTTCCCTCCTTTTTGCAATCAGGCCCTGTGTGGGGTAAGCCCTGCATTCTGGCCGAGAGGACCCACCGAGAGGGGATTTGTGGTTTGGGAAGCCTGGACTGGAAAGAACAACTGTCTATCTGAGCCAGCAACTTGCCCCTCTCTGATTTGACACGTCCTCTGTTGTGACAACATTTGCAGACAGGATGCAACCTTGACATGTGCACAGGCCAAAGCCTCTGTCAAAGAGTGTGGAGCTGAAAAGCCTGAGCAACAACAAGAAGGGCCTGCGGAGGCTGCACAATATCCTCTGGAAGACGATCGAAGTCTGGAGCCTCCTGGTCAAAACGCTTTGGAATACAAGCACCGCCTCAAGCCAATAGTTTCAATTCCACAGGCAAAAGCTCTTCGTATTGCTGAAATTACTACACTCACACACAGTCTCACTCACTGAGCGCAGACAAATTCAAGCTGACACAAAGGCATGCCTGCACATTGTATGCACATTCATAATCACACTTTCATAACCGCACATTCTCTCCCTCTCTCACAAGTTCTAACACACACCCAAACAACACGTACTCAGGGATGCTGTCTTGCCTTGAGAGAAAATTATTTCCCAGCACCAATGCCCTTGGAGAGAAAAAAAAAGTTTGTATTCATGCTGGTGCAACTGTGTAGGGGGAAAATAAGACAGAATCAACAAGGATATTGTACAGTGATCAGAAGGACAAAAAAAAAAAAATTACTTTGCTGGATGACTTTAGAGCTTGCAATGTTTGCATTTTATTATTTAGAATACTGTAAATCCCCCCCTTTCCAAAAGGTTGATCACCTCCTCATTAGGATGGAGTAAAACTGTTTAGATAAATAAAATGTGGTTAACTCTTTGCAAGGTGTCCAAGGGGAAAAAAAAACTACTTTGTCAAACATTATTTTCTACAAACTGAATCCTACCATGAAAACAGTAAATTTAACATGACAAGCCAAGCAAATTATGCAAATAAACCAAAAAAAAACATTGTGCTGCTTTTATTTTTGCAGTGTACATATGTTAATATTCACAGCTAAAAGAAATGGATCAAACGCTTGGAAGTGTACAGCTTCAGATTGTTGTGAATTTGTTAGGCAGAAAGACAAATGCATGGTGGCGTTGTATTTCAGGTGTTCTTTGACTAATCCGCACGAATGCAACTCTCTGATTCTCCTGCATCTCCATTCCCAGAAAATAACGGGTGTGGGTCAGGACGTCTCTGCTCATAGCCAAAACACTATTTCATCACCAGGTCCTGTTGGGTGACTGGACAGGGCAGGATTTAGCACTGCATGCCTCATCCATCTTTAGCACTCCCAGCCTCTCCCCTGTAAAAGAGACAGAGATGGATGGGCTATCTGGAGCCCCGCTCTCCCTTTCCCTTCACTCCCTCACCTTGGGCAACCTACACTGCTTGGATCATTATATAGTTACCTTCTCCCTTTGCCCTGCAGGTCTTTACTGTCTCGTTCCTTCACCATTTGTTTGACTGTCACTGAATTGTCTCTTTTCTACCTCCACTTTTATCTCCTTCAAACTCTGTTTAGAAGCAGCAGCAGCAGCAGCAGCAGCCCTTCAGGAGCATCTATTGTGGAAATGACATTTATTTGATAATCAGCTGGTTTACCAGGAAACATCTAGATTGTGTCAAAAGTCATATGGATGTGTCCTATGACTTCAATCTAAAAATTAGTTACCAAGAGGTCACACCTGAACACAAAGACCTCTTACAGTATATTAGTAAAGAGGAAATTTCATTTACCTGTCAGTGCAAATCTTGAACAGGTGTAAATCACTGTCATCACCCTGTCTTTGATTACTAGGCTCAGCAGGCACAGCTATGCTGGTACAAGCTTATCATCCCAGGACTCATGCTGTTCAGCTAACCTGCCTGCTGTAGAGCGGCTAAGGATAAGCAAATCCTCTACGGGGGCTAATTTCTCAGGGAATCCAGGATTATGGGCAACACTAATAGGGAATCCCCTACACACACTAGATTGAGCCAGCAGGTTTAGCAGGATTAGAGGGTTCTGTGTTCACTTTTCTGTCTTTTGGATCAGTACTACTATCCAGGTACGGACTTGAAAGATGTTCATAGGCTCTGGACTTCTAGGACAAAGGCTGGGAAGGCTGTCAGGAGCTGGAAATGTTTTGAAATAGTGAAATGAGAAGTGATGCTTTGATGTACTGTATTAAGACTATAATACAATCAGGGGTCAGGATGCTATTTTTCTTGACTCTACAAGGATATGTTTGGAAAGCACGGCTAAAGATTTGAAGACAGGTTGGAAATAACATTACATTCTGGTTTAATTTAGTGCACAACAGTTGAAGTCTACTTCCATCTGCATGCTGTCACTCATTGCTGGATACAAAGATTTTAACTACATTCAGAGTACTTCATCCAGACTACAGAGGGCACCATTGCCTCAGTATGGTTGGCACTGGAGAGCAATAGCTCATAATGATGACCCGTCAAACTGGCAACCTTCATTCCTCTTTTACGAGTTCATAAATGACCGTTGCAAGTGCAGCAATCTTTATATGGGAGCTGCAACAAAAACAAATCACTGGTTCAAATCAAACAGCTTTCAGCCTGTAACTCTTCAAAAAGAGTTTCATTAAGCTTCAGCCCCTTTTCTGTAAAAAAAAAAAAAAAAAAAAGTCAAGACAGTTTATGCTCAAACGTCCACTGGCTTTCATTGGTTCCACCAGACTGGGTAGGCAAATCAAATGCAGACACATTCATTCACTGACCAAGGCTAGAGTATTAAAAACTGGAGAAAATGGCTTTCCATGCTCCGGGCTTTGAGCTGGTGACCCCTCTCCATTTAAAAACTTTCCAAAAAGACCATAAACTTAACAATCAGGTTTTCCATGAGACGAAGAGCAAAATTATGAGACAATTGCCATGAGTTAATAAACAAAATAAATGGAAATAATGGCTGACCCTGCATGGGTGAGCAACAACTTATGATTATTTGGATCCATTCAGTTCAACAATTACAGAAACAAGTGAACAGTGTATTTCACAGCACTAAGATGTCTTTCTTTCCTGCTCATGAATGTTTCCAGGTTCATGCATAGTATTTTTTTTTCTTTCACATTTGTGGTGTGCTAATTACTGGCAGCATTCTGTGCTGCTTTTTAAAGTGAAATGACGGAGGTGTTTTTTAGCATGCAAGTTGGTTCAGCTGCACTCCAGGGTAATTGAAAGGCAGGATTCCCCAGCTGGAAACACTGGGAACGAAGAGGCCCCTGTTGTTGCTGCTGCCTGCATTATGACAAACCTCTCTTATCCTTGCTTCTTCTTCAGTTCAAATGTGTTAACACTGAATCCTTAGAAAGAAAAAAAACCTGCTCCAACATGGTTACACTCATGAAAAACAATTTCTTTTCAACTCAGCAATCAGTGCTACAGTATTTTTATTAAGATCTTTGATAAATCTGACAAATTAACAAAAAAACTTTTATTAGATAATGATGTTCCATTTATAGTTAGTACAGAAACTTTAAAGGACCTCAGTGCCAACAAGTGGGATTCTCCACAGTGTCTATAAATAGTATTTACTGTACAGCATATTATCTGTCCCGGTCACATGGTTATAACCTTGATGTGCATGTGGAAATTGGTGATATAAGTTCGAGGTGAAAAGAAAAAGAATACGAGACAGGGGAACATGGTACAGTCCAGTCTGGAGGAATTTGTACTCATTGTATAAGTTAAGTTGTGTGGTCACATTACAAAGCTGTCTGATCTGCCATGTTGCTCCAGGTCTGAAGAGGAGCGAGGAAGAAAAGGTGCAAACAAGGGAACTTAGGACATGGTGATCTGCATAGATTCCAGCATCTCTTCCACTGCCTTCATGGAGCATTTGTTCTCCTTGGTCCCACGACCAGCCAGCTGCATGTCAGACACAGAGAGCAAAAGAGAGGAGGGGAGAGGAAAAGAGAACAGTCTATTAGTTCTCTCTGCCAACTAAAGTAATCGAGAGCCAAACACGCCTGGACACAGCCACAGAGAGGCAGTGATAATCTTATCCACCCTACACCAAACCTCACGACATCTGCTGCTGCAGCAGCATTAATCCAAGACAATGGTGGCCATTAGACAGAATTGGTAAACAGGTCATGCAAAGAAAAATAATACCTCTAATTTGAGGGATTTCCCCCCATAAACTGTTGCATAAGTGCAACTTTTATTCTGTGTGTGTGCTTGGAGACGGGATGTCCACATTGGTCCACTTCCATGGCCTCTAGTACAGGAGTACATAACTGCTCTAATTTCAGCAGTGTCCGTGGGGTTTCACAGGAAGTGCTGCGAATTATAATCCACAAACACATACAAGATTACTCATGTGTGAGTAAACAGGGACACTTTTTTTCTGCCCAATTAAACCTTGCAAAAGACAAGGCAACCCCTCAAAATGTACCAAAAAGAAACAACTTTCTTAACCTTAGGCCGGAGACCAAGAATAATGGATCTGTCCAATTAACCTCATCTCACCCACAATAATAGAACCATTCATCTTTATGATATTTTGCCAACAGAACTTAATAGTATACAATACAGTAAGTGGTGCAAGCAAAAATGACAAGTTTTACTCATTTTCCATTATAGTGACTATATGTGCACACACCTCGGCAAGCTTCAGTGTGTGCAGTGAGATGACAATTATAGCTACATTAAGAGCAATTAAAAAAAGAAAAACGCTCTACAGCAGTGCTAGTGACTGAGGGTGTACTTAGGCAACACAATGCTTTAGGCTAAGTGCTAATAGCAGCAGGCTAACATGCTCACTCTGACAATGTTAACATGGTGATGTCGTTTAGCTATACAGTATGTCTACAATCCAAAGGCCAAAGTGTTAGCATGCTCACACTGACCAACAAACACAGAACATCCAGCAAACCTTAACCTCACTGAATCTGTGCGGGTTCTGGTAGCCATGGAATCTTGGATAACTTTGAAAGAGGAGAGCTGCCTCCTTTAAACATGTTATTTGAAAAGAGACACCTGAATTCTTTAGTGCAGGTTTCATTGCTGCACTGAGCCCATGAATAACATGAAGAATTCTGATTATCAACTTTGAAATGACTTCTGAAGAAACTAGTATATATTTAAAATGTTTCACCACTCTTATATGCAAAAAGAGGAGGATGCCTAGACAAATGACCAAGTCTTTCTTCATTAGTTAAAACATGCCAGTATTTTAGAATTACAGATTTTACTTTACCTGATAAAGGTAAAAGCTGGAAAAAACAACAAATGAAAAACTTTTATCCAACCTCCCAGCTGGCAGGGGTAATGCACTAGACACAAATATGACAATCTAGAAATCTAGAAAATTGACAACGAAGTTCAAAATTTACACATTAAAGCCCCTATTGCAATTTCAAAACCTGTGTAAGTAAACTCTCAAGGAGATTTAGCTGTTAAGGCTGACAGAAAGACAACAGCATGTCAATACAGCTGAACAGCAATGGGACAGGCTGGGGGCAACAGCATCGCATGGTCCTTTTAAGGAAATCATTATGAAAACACAATTGTTCTGAGTCAAACACAGGCAGGGGATACTGTATCAGTGACATCGCAGTGGTGCCTCTGGACAACAGAGCACATTCTGCATGTCCTCCAAGGTGAGAGATGAGACTCTGGACACAGAAGCTCAAGCAAACACACATATCCACTGTCAGTGTCGTACATGAACACACTAAAAAAAAAAAAAAAAAAAGCATCGCTCATTGAACATGCTCATTTTTCAGTAAATAGATCAGTTTGTAACTAAAGAATGTGAACTTCAGCTTTGTTAACATGAAAGGTTGTGAATGTGGGCGGCAAAGGCTTTGTTCACTTAGTTTCTAATGTTGGTAATATTCTGTGAGTCATGGAAAGAAGTTACCCATCTGTTGAGTCAAACTAGTCTGAGCACGGAGCAAGTCGCACAAGGAACAGAATCCTGCATTAAAACTGTGTATGCTGCACTTGATAACCAGTGCTGCTTGGATTAAACGTTACATGCAGTTGATAACTGAGAAGTCTCATCATGCAGCACATATGTTTTGTATTACTAACATATGAAAATCTACTAGTAAGCATCATAATCAAACATACATGGAGCAGAAATAGGATTTTGCCTCTGCAAGGTAGTGAAATCAAAGCATGAGGTATCAGAAACATTCAAGTTAATCTGAAACGCTGCCTTTAATGCTGTGACATTTTTCACCTTCATTCAACCTGTAAGAACCGACTATAGCCTAAACCTAGCCTGGATGGATTTCCATGATTAAAAGTTTCAGCCAAACTCCAACTTCAAGAGGGCAGTTGGCTAAGGTGGGCAACCGGCCAAGAAATTCTCAAGGGTGACTCATTCTTCTAGATTCAGGGTGTGTGTGTGTGTGTGTGTTTGTGTGTGTGTGGTGGGGTAGTTATAATGATCAGTGCATTTCATTGCCTTGCTGCCTAATGCACCATTACCCCTGGCCCAGTAGTCAATTATCTCCTCAGCCTGAGGTGAGACCACCACATTAACTCCTATCCTGTTCTACAACAGCAGGAGCAGACCAGACAGCTCCACATCTATTTAGAGCATCTGATAATAGAGTCATGACGCAGGGGAAGCCTGTGGTCCGTGACAGAGGAGCTAATCAGATAATCTGTTTGAGAGTTAGGGCAGGAGGACATGCCATGTAGGGCTGCTTTAAACACCACTGCACCTACAACCCCCATATTTCCAGGTCTTCTACATGTCAGCCAACCCTACCAATATAATTACAATATAGAAAAAAAAAGAGGCCCCCAGTCAGTCATGACCTCCAACTGACATCTGCTTCCACTTGCACTCACCAACGCACCTCTTCCTCACACTGGAGGTATGACAATCACCAGGTACCTGGGACCTAATAAAAGTGGACAACTGACATGAGCTACTCTTTAAAAGGGCCATCAATCAGCTAGCACAAGCCCACAGCAGCCTGCAGCTGCCTGGTTAAATCCCACACCCACTGCTCCCTTTAAAAGACATCTCAGAACTCTTAACTGGAGGTGGGGAGCAGAAAAATAAAGCAGGAAACCTTGCACTTCACCATTTAACGCATCTTACACAGCATACATACATAGATAAATATCTACAAAGGCACATGCACATGGTGCCAGGCTTGCTTATACATACTCTAGTACCTACTGCACATGTGCAGTACACCGAGATGAAATCCCAGCTCTACTCACCATAAAGTGAGTAGTGGTGTTTAGCATGTGTCCAGTGTGACACATAACCCACACATCAGAAATGCAAAGCATACCGTTAACATCGCTGCAATCAAATCAACAAAGGCAGATGAACAGAGTTGGCACGTGCATTTGCACATCCTACATATTTATGACATGGTTCGTCCTCAAAGCTATGCAACATTTTAATGATTATGGTGATGATCCTGTTTCTTGTGAGCAGTGGTAAAATTTAAATCCCCTGCCAGTGCTTGGCAGGAACGACCCCCACCAACACAAAAAATCCCCCTTTTACACAGGAATGGTTGGGCCAAATTTTACAACCTCTTGTGGCAGAAAAAAAGGAGGGTCTACACTGAACACTGACCCCATTACGTTGGCATGGAATGTTTTATACACAGTGGTGGAAAACTGGCACAATAAACCTGGATTGAACAGTATAAAAGGGGCCAAAGATGTACAGTATGTAAGACAGTATTTGTGTAAGAATCAGGTATTCCATACATTACTCTCAACATCACCAAAAGGAGCTGTCTGTTCCCCGTCTGTGTGTAAACCCACACACCTGCTTAGAAATCAAAATATTTAAGATAGTTGTACTGCTGTCTGATCCTTGAAATATGCTTCAGGTCAAATCCAAAAGTAATGTTATAATAGGTCTGTTTCCAAACTTATTCGATGTACTGTCACACAGCCTGGCAACTGCTCAAAATGGATTAATAACTAGTTTGAAATATAAAGGGTATTTAGTGTAAAATGACCACAGAAAATAGGATTATGGTGTAACCTGGCTGGCAACACTTCGATTCCATAGCCAAGCTTGTCATCTCTGAGCCTTTAAGTTTTTCAGATATTTGGACACAGTTCACTCCAAAAGCATGGGTTTTTTGTTTGTTTGCTTTTGGGTTTATTTATTTATTTATTTTTTATTTTTTTGCTAACACCTCCTCCCTCTCCCAAGCCTGTGACTTATGGTTAAAAGTTAGACCTTTGAGATAGTCACCGTCCTAAGACAAAAAAGCAGGGTCAGCAAGTACACGGATAATGTGGATTCTCACTAATGGTGACATTTGATTGACTCATTTTGTTGACTAAACCCCCACATTTTTCCATTTATTAAGACAATCCATCTCTGTACATTAAGTATGAACCTCTACAAAACAAGCTGTACCTCTTCAATCATGACAGTTCATTAAACTTTAACTCAAACCTAAAGGGAACATGTGAAAGCTTAGAGTTCTTCCATGACACCTCTACAAGTGGTCCAAAAGAGAATAGCTTTTCACCACAATGTTACCAACATGCACACTTTTTCCAATGGAGCTCTCGACACATGAAATGTGCCTATAAGACACGGAGAGCCGAGTGCGGTGAGAAGAGGTCTTTGGAGGCTCAGTGGGAAACAGGACCCACACAAGCTGAGCAGGGAGCCGCTTATTACACGTTTTAACCATCATTGGTCAAATAAGCAACACTTATGGCCCATATGGCAAATAAGGGTTCTTTTACTTTAAAACTCACGTCCCCATGACAACACAATGAGCCATTTAGTGATACAATCTAAACAGCTCCTCACTTTTTCCCTTCTATATCCATGTGTGGATATGAACATGCAGGCATACATACAGACATACATGTTCATCTATTTTTTTTTCTGCTGAAATTTCTTACTCTCTATCGTAAAAGGTCAACATATCAAGGTCCCAGTTTTTTTTTTCTCTCAAATCCTCTAAACAATACAAATACAGACAGATGACAAATTAAGACAAAACTATCATGAAATGTCTCAGATAGGTTTTGGGCCACAACAGCTTCAGTGCAACTCGGCATAGACTCTCCAGGTCTCTGAATCATACTGGAGGAATAAACAACATTATTCCAAAAGATACTCTCTCATCTGGTGGTCTGATGAAAGTGGTGGAGACGGTGTCTAAAACGTTGTTCCAAAATCTCACAGGTGTTCAACTGGTCTGAGATCTGGTGACTGTGAAGACCACAGCATGACTGATATTTTCATACTCAAACCAATTAGTAACCCTTCCTATCCTGCGGATGGAAGCAGTGTTCTCCCAGAAGAGACCACTACCATCAGGACAGACGTTTTTCATCATAGGATAAAGGTGATCACTCAGAGCAACTGTGTATTGATTAGTAGTGACTCTTCCCTCTAAGAAGACAAGTGGATCCAAACCATAGGCGCATAGTAAAGGGGTCAAGCATTCAGGATTTTCCTTTAATTTGTCACCCGTCTGTGACAGGTGTAGTCTGTATGTCTACTGCAACTGAAGAAATAACACAAATCCAAGATTAGGCTTGTTATTTTGCTGGAGACCTCTTACAATTAGTTTAAAGGCACATGACACTCACTGAACCCTACTTTGAGAAGCACTGAACTAGACAAAGCTCTGTTACAAGTCTAATGTGATTGCTGTACTTAGAGAATCAGCTTGTGGCTCAATAGCCAGGGTGTGGGATATGGTTTTAGCAGGCAGTGTGGCCTTAAGTCAACACATTAACAGTAATGTAACCAGACACAATGATGAGACACCGAGGTTGTTGTTATAACATTACAAGTCATAGGCATCGTTGAGCATTCAGGGATCATTTAGTTGTGGTGAATGCTTCTTGCATACTATGCAAATGAGAGGGACTTCTAGATATCGGGATATTGTGTGCAAATACGCTGTGAAAGCCAAAACAAAACAGTCATAAGATAAGATGATTGGTGGTTTTCATTGCCTGGCTAAATGAAGGCTGATGTGGGGAAAAACAAAAAGATGTTTTTCTGTGGAGGACAGAGGTACTGGATGTATACAGGGTTGCTGCACACTTTTCAAAACCTAATTTAAGACTTTTTAAGAACTAAAAAGAGAAAAAAAAAAACAATTTCTGCAGCAGAACACACATTCACAAAGATGCAACATGTGTAGCAATTTTTCCATAAAAAAAGATCAAATATCAAATACAAATATGATCGTGTATCCCATGTATGCATAATGCGTGGGATAATGTAGAATCATATATAATAAAAATAACCATGTTTGGTTTTGCTAACTTGCATCAATAGACCATTGTAATCAAACATTTTTATGAACATCTACATAACATACATTCAATTGCCAATTTAGTAGGCCGACTTAAAAATAAATTGTAATGTTTGGTTTTTGTCAAACTTTTCTACAGAGGTGTTAAAGCCGCATTAACTAATTTTTATCACAAATTAGGATAAATCAGGTTAAAAGTTGTCTAGAAGCGTTGTCTCCCTCCTGTACTAAATTTCCCGCTCTGCTATCTTCAGGCCTTGTGTTTATTTCTTGTCCTCTGTGGCCACTGTTAAAATCCACACCACACTTCTTACACACACCCCGCTGATCCGAGGTTATAAGATGTGTTTTTCAAACCAGTCTGGCTCAATTCAAAAACGAACCATGGAAGCTCCCTGTGCAGGTACAACCCAGGATGGTATTGTAGCTGGCTAATGTGTACATGTCAGCATCATTAGCAAGCGAACTTTAGCTTTTCAATTTAGTACCTCTGAATTGAATTATTCGGGTTGTAATTTGGAGTCATTCCAAATGACTGCAGCGTTGGTGTTTTGTTGTCCTTTTGGCAGAAATCAACGTGTTTTCCTGGATTAGCAAATTAAGTAATTTTGTTAATTTTTGCTCAGTTTTGGTCCAGTTTATGTTGTGTATAACAGCAGTCCATGTAGCATTTTAGTGAAAAGCTGTTAAAGTTTTCGCCATCAACACAACTAAAAAAGTGGAGTCTGTTCGCTATCAAAGCATAATATAAAATTTCTCATTTCACAAACAACTCATGGTTAACGTATAATGTTGTGTGTCAAATATGTAACACTGAACTTGATGCAATAGTGGCCAGAACATTGGTACTATATTAATATTACCTGGAAAAAACATTCCTCTGCAGAAGTTACTTGTGCTACTGCAGATACATCTGCTACAAACAATGTTAGACATACGTATGCATACCGCTAAAATGTAAACCTCTTTGACATCATTTCGCTGCAATGCCACCTAAAACCACGGGCTCTGTGGGCTCTATATTTCGTTTGCATTAGTTCTGGAGCCGGTTATTACTGCTGCGCTACCTGACTGTCACAACTGTCTCTGGTTGTTGTGACCACATATGACCCAGCTTCAGAGAGAGGGCAGGAGGGGTGACGAGGAGGCTGCTTGAGTTTGTTTTGAATCTCACTTTGCCCTTGATGGCTGAAAATTAGAGGAAGAAGATAGTCAATGCAGCTTTAATTAAATTTGATCTAAAGCTGTGGTTTGTTACTTGACAACCCACATTGATATGAATTGGGCAAACAAGATTATAAAAACACCCCTCAGTATAACACAATGCAATTCAACACCTGCAAAAAACCACAACCCCTACCTCTTAGTCAGTTGTAACAAAAAAACTGAACATTATAACGTTAATGACAGTGGAATTTATTGCAGGACTCGTGTTGGATATAATTATGTTTATATTGGTGTACTTGAATATTCTTTAACTCAGCAGGAGCTGATGATGTAGTGGCAGCAGACACATAAGACTACATTGGTGCCAACTTTTCAGGTACCAGTATAGCATCTGTGCTTTGTTGAATTCATATGGGACACTTTATTTCCCATTGTTGCAAGTTTAAGCATTTTCAGGTCATCTTGCAGAGTGTCTCAAAATCATTACTTACGATGGCTAACCATTCCCGGTAGTTTTCATCTTAAAGCTATAGTTCCTTAATTTGCATATACCATATATATAAACAATTGTAAGAAGACTTTTCAAGGATCTGCAGGAACCCTGGTATGAAGGAAATAAAAAAAACAACATAAAACTACATCTATATGACACTTACCTTATAGGCTCTGTTTATCTGAGTGGCAGCCCAAGCTGCATACTTCATATTGTCCTTCTTGACCTTGGCACTAACTTTGGGACTGGCAGCGATGTGACTTGCAGACTAGGAAAACAGACAACAGGAGAAAGAAGCAAAACAAGAACAGGAGAAGGGTGTTCATATATCAGAACTTGGTGGAACAGGAATAAAAGCATAATTGAGATGAATGCGCAACCACTCTTAACATCCACCACTCCGCTAGTCATTGTGGTAGAAGGAAGAGAAAAAACAGACCTTGGTCTGATGACACAGGAGAAATCATTTATAGGGAGGGAAGAAATTGTTTTAATGCTTCATACATAAATAAAATTTAACAGGACCTAATTCCTCCAACACCAATGATTCCCAGTGATGAAAGGACCTTGTATGTCTTCGAGGAAAAAAAAAAAAACTCAGCATGCAGTGAGAGGAGCGTCCTGTGAATCACACTCTGCCTGCCCTGACAGCTCCCCCTCTGAACCACAAATCTCATGTCTTTCCCATGTTCCTGCCATCATCTCCATACAGCAAACACCAGAGGGCTTACCCTGCCTGCACTGCAAAGCACTCCCTACCAGCGCTGAAACTTTAACTACACACAGATCAACCTGGCATTGTTTGTTTTTATAAAATGGTTTTGCTTCTGTATTTTTTAGTAGGCATTTTCTTGATTTCTATTTTTTAGCTCAAGAGAAGCCTCAATTTAAATGATGTCAAGCCTGACAGTGTGCACAATTATGGAGGGGAATCCCCATGCAAGTGTTGTGAGTAACTAACCCACAACCCAAATGTGGTCAGTGCTACCAGGGCTTCTGTCAAACTGACTCAGATTTTGTGAGATGCTGAGAGGTTTCCTGCCCTTTCACTGAACTTCTTGCACCTGCCAAGATCTGGACCACAGAGACTAGCTGACAATCTGCAAAGCATGTTTTTAAGACAGACCTGTGACTGATAAAGAATAAACTCCCACCTGAAGTATCCAATAAAGCCCCCGGTGTTGGTAGACGACTTGTCAGGACATGGAACAGGGCCTGCTCTGTCTCCAGACGAACAGGAGAGCTGACAAAAACTGAAGTCTCGGTTTGACCCTGCCCTGCTCCTCCCGTACACTGCCTACATCTCTGAGTGCTTTCATGGGGTATGGGCTGCTATTAAATACTTAAATATGATGCACTGGCACTAGCAGACATCATCCTGTTCAAACAAATATGTAGATGAGAAGGCTGTCCATCCAAGACTACAATCAAACTGGCACCTGATTGGATAAATTGCCAGCGACAAAATGCTTGCAGCAGTTGTACTGCTCTCTCTCTCTCTCTCTCTCTCTCTCTGTAGTGCTTCTCTCTTTACTTTGACTACTTTATTTATTTAAGTCATAAACATAAAAAGATCTAACCAAAAGGGTATTATTACTAACATAAAGAACTCAGGAGGGGCAGACTTTTCCAGTGCTGGAGATCACCGTCTGAGTCAGCAGTTAGCTGACCTGTCTGAGAGCCCCTTCTTTACTCCCCCTGCCAAAAAAAAAAAAAGTCTTTCCTGACACACACAGTGGCCAGCCTCAACCTTGACAAACCACAGGGTTACGAAAAAGGGTCTACTGTTTTTCTCCCACTCCCTTTCTTCCACTTTCTGCTCATGCAAAGCAGTACTCACCATGTACAAACCAAACAATGCCCTCATGTTTCTGTTGTTCAGCCTCAGTGCCTGGGCAAAATACTTTCTGGACAGCTCCAGGTTTTCCAGGCCCCCCTGAGTGTACTTCACCTGTGTGAGGAGGCATTAAACATGGCCAATAAGCTGTGCTAAAGGGCAGCTCAAGCAATGACAGCATGACATCTGTATAAGCAATACCTGACAACCCTGCCCTGTGCAAACATCGCTTTTCATGAGCCTATATTCCCAGTGACGTTAAGCGTGTGTCTGTATCTCTCTGTATTAAAGAGAGGCACCATTCACAGAGGGCTAACATTTATTCCATGCTTGATGATGGACATCCTGGCAGGCACCTACCTCAGCGTACTGCTCACAGTACAAGTGATTGTGAGGATTGGTCATCATCAGCTCCTCCAGACAAAATGCAGCTTTTCCATAGCTGTGGACATGACAAGGAAAACAGTGAGCCAATTGATACAGCTGTGGATGTGTCATCCTTTAGCTTGCTTAACCGTGGAGCACAAAATCTATGCCCAATAAACTGGAAGGTGAAAATTTGAATTGAGAACTGCGTGGGGCATGGTCCAGTTTACATGAGATAGCCTGTGTTGCAGAGGTGTGTAAAGGTGCACCACATGACAAAGTTTATTTACAGGCTTACAGTGAAGGTTTCTCATACAGACAGCTGGCAAAGGTAAAAGCTTATCTAGTGTGGTGATCTGCCCTCCTTTGGGGAAACTGGGGATCAAATCCTGTCCGTCTTTTTTTTCCCCCCAGCCTTTAATGTGTAGTTAACTACCTTCCTGAGGTCAGAACTACAGTAAGAGCTGGCACACTCTGTCTATACTCAGATGAGATCACTTCTCAGCAGCAGACTGCTGAGCTGTTGACCTCACACTAATCTGCTGCCACTCCACTTCTAATACAGTTTTCCCCTCACGGGACAAGGCCAAGATGAGCTAAGATACAGTACATCACTGAACACAAAGCCATAAAATGTCTGTACACCTAACAAAATAGAAGCCAAAACACACAAACCAAGGCAGAAGCAGACCTTCAACATAAAATAGGACTACTTTGGCTATCTATTGACAAATTTAAACTGACTGGAAGTTGTCATTCTTTGTAGTCGAGCATTCAGATCTGGTGTGTTTCTGAATGAACCTTGTCAGTTAAAAGGAAAAACCTGCTTGCGTCAACAGGCTTCTACATTGGGATAGATACGAAGTGATTTCACTGCGAGGGTAAACCTCAGATCCAGGGTTTTTGCTGGAATCAAATAATCCAAATATCAACTGTTACAACAGGAAGACTATCAGCCTAAACAGAAAGTCCAACATGGTAACCTGGTGAAAGATTAACAGTACAGGAGGGGGAAGGAAGGTGGAGAAAGACAAAAAAAAAATGAATTGGAGAAGAGGTTGAGTAGAGGGAAGATCAGAGGGCTTGGAAGGTTGGGGGTTGCTTTCAATTACCACTTCCTCTCCATAAAGACTTTCAGATGTGCAGTGGCCACAGCTTGCAACAGAACCCACCCCAGCCGCCATCAACCAGAAACTTGCACTAGAGCAAGACCCTTACCTCTTCTACTCTTCCTCAGAGCCATCACGAGCTACTCTCTATGGCTGCTCCTAAGCTCACTCTTTAAAACTGTGCTGGAGCAAGTTTGCAGCCATCATATTGTGAGACTGCAGAATTGTACTTGTTTCTTTCAGAGCTTAGTATAAACATCAGCAGTGGCTTTTCCCATTTTCAACACCACATTCTGACTACACACACAAAAAAAAAAAAAAGGAGATCCAGACTATGCAAAGTATGTATTAAAAAAATTGCCATTTATTTTGTAATATTGGATGACCTGCTCAATTTTGTTGAACTGTCTCATAAACTGGATCAGAAAAAAAGCAAACAGCAGATTACAACAGTGGCTCTTGGAAACAAAAAATAATCTCTAGTCTAAACACCACCTTAACAGTCAACTCAGAGGCTATTAATTACACTTTTAATGTGTTAATACTGATGCCTGCCACCATCGTAACAATGGCAATGCAGAGCCACAATACTTAGTTTAGCTTCCAGGGGATTGCGAAGTGATGTAAAGAAGTTTATTTCTCTTCCTTGCTTCTCCATCAGTCTCTGTTTTCTCTTGCTTAGGGGGTGGGGGGTTAGAGTGCCACTACCTACTCCTGGGAATTTCACAGCAAGTGTTCTCTCTCCCTGCCTCCTGCTCTCTCCCTCTGGAAAAGAGTGGCGATAATGCTGGACCAGCCGGAAGAGGAGGAGGGGAAACAGGGAGTTTGTAACCCAAAATAAAGAAAACAAAGAAAAGAAATTGACACGCCTGTAGATAAGAGACTGTGGGAGTGAATGGTGTGATATTACAAGTGTTGGGATAAGCTGAGAGATAATCCGCTCACCCCTGGATTTCCTCTGGCTACTACAGCAATAAAGCCTCCCAGACAAAAGCAAGAAACATCCAATAAGTAGCCAAAAATTCCTGCTGTCATTGCCTTCGTAGCAGAGCAACCACGCAACCATATAATAAGTGCGCACACACACACATACAAAACCATAGTTCAATTGTAGCCACTGCTTCACTAACTTCTGAGCCCCAGACAATAAAGGGGAGATAAACGATGACACAAAATTTTCTTTTTCTAACAATGCTCTCTTGTCTGTATGGCAATTCTCCTTGGCAGATGAGATATCAGTGAGGGGCCAGGGAGTTTATCTGCTCTCATATGTAGGACAGGGGGTTTAAGATTGAAATCCTATTAAACTACTCTTATGCAAAAAAACATGAAGAGAGTTCAATTCAGAACCTTGGCAGAGGTAGGCATCTCCATGCCTTTCATTGTGGCCATCCAGCGGCTCTCTGGAGATCAAGCAATCACTCGAATGGGAAGCCCTGTTAAACTGACGGCTACACCTAAATCATATGGGTGCCCTACTAGAAACAGATTACTGGTTTCTAAGGCAACTTTTGTATGAACATCTGAAAAACTAACTCACATTCATATCAGTTGTTTGTGAAGCTTGACTATTAAGTATTTAAGTAAAACAGACAATTGCAGACTTAAAATACTTCTTATTTCCCATGTTTTGCATCTACTTCTCCCTTGTTTTTTTAAAGCTATTTTGGAAGAAAGAGCGTTTGAATTTATGTAATGCTTTATAAAAAAAATTGGCAAATACTAAAATCATACTGTTGCTGACTGTAAATGAAACAAATGTATTTACTCATGTTCGTTGATGTAGAGCTCGGACAACTCGTGCCACGCTTCTTGGTCCCCAACAAACCTGTAGACAAAATGATAAATTCTCTTCTTCAAACACTGCAAAATACATCAAGTTATTAAAAGATAAGGTCAGACATTTTCTATATTAACAGTATTTTCTACATCTCACAGAGACTAAAACCACCAGTGAACTGCCACTACTCACAGTTAATGTGTGTCAGTCCTGGATTATCTTATTCATCTGTGGCACAGACCTCTGTTGTTGCTCAAAAAAAATCAATTAAACAGATCAATGAAACATACCACTGCACTGTTTGGTTTTTACAGCATCTGAAAAAAGCAAGTGTTAGTTGCACATGTGCAAGATCTCCATGAAAGTGTAAACAAAGCAGAGAGCTCACATGGAGATCTTGTGCATGTGAAATTGACTCTTGCTTACTTCAGAAGCTTAAAAAGTTGAGAATGATAGACATTAACAGTGAGTATAGGCAATTCACTGTTGGTTTTGATCTCTGTATGAGGAGTATTGAAAATACTATTAAAATAGAAAATGACTGACATTATCCTTTAACTTCAAAACAGGAAATGTGTTTCTAAGAGCAATGTAAAAACGTTAATACAATATTACTTATTACAATGACATGTCAGTCCAATTTCAGTGTAGGGGAAATAGGTTTCCATTATTTTCTGCACAAGCTGTGCCAACTCACATGAAAGCAGATTCAGTTTTTAATTAAAATAAAAGCCAAGGGAGGTGACCCTCTCCCCCTCTTGTAGAAACACTCACTGCTCCAGATACTCATTGAGCTCCCGGATGGCTTCAGCACTCTTCCCCTGGGCCTTCAGTATGGCAATCTTGCGCTTCCTTGCTGCCTGTAGAGCAGAGTAAACAGGATTAGAAACTCAGCTCCTCAAGTGTTTTTCTGAAGGTGGGGTAAGAGCATGAAGGAGTGCAAAAGCTGACAGTTTAAGGATCTTCATTTGTACATTTTCTAAGCACCACAATCCTGCTCCAAGTTCCACTATGACACCTAATAATGCTACCTTACAGTCAGCATTTTGATGCACTACAAGTGCCACTGAAGTAGGGACAAAAGACAGATACTTCTACCAAAGTTATTACTACTAAAGTTGACTTATTCATGTTTACTTTATAGCTGGAAAATTTTAATGAATATAAGCTTACCATGACATAATTGGGGATAGTTAGTAGCCGTGACCAACAGGAGATGGACACACAAATTATGAGTCAATGCTTGGGAGCTGAAATGAGCTAAGTGGCTGAGATAAAGTGGTGAGTCATCACCTAACCAAGTGGGGAAAATGGCACACTCCAAAACCCCAATGCCCGTCTTCCTGTTGGCACAGCATGCATCTAGTGCTGCATCAGCCCAACTTACATCAGCTAAAAATTTCTTTCTGCTTCGTTTTGATTCTGAAGTATCCTTAAGGTGGATTAGATTTCATCAGCCTGAATTAGACAGTATTACTCCTGCTTCTCTGACTTTTCCAAATGCTTTAGTCCAACCTCACCCTCCTCCTCCTCCTTTTAGTAGTAAGTGAAAAACCTAACAGGAGGCTGTCGCTCCATTAGTGCACTGCCCTGCCACAGACTATTTTATTTATGGACTGGCACTTGATTGAGTGGGGCTTCCTCTCCTACACTCATAACCAAAGCCACTGAGGGCTGTGCATGACTCATGTCTAGGGGGCTGTAAATTTGGGCCTTCTCTGACACTGCTATCGCAAGAAATCCACTTATCCATCAAGCTGGGACAGAAAGCTACAGAGACTCTGCAGCTTCAACTGACAAGTAACATTTTAGCCCGTCACTCCGTTCCTCTCTCTCTCACACACACACACACGCACACACACAGGCATATAAGCAACAGGACAGTGTCTTCATAAAACACCAGTCATCCAACACCAACAGGAAGGATTTCTACTTACACTACAATGTCCTGTATTTCCACTGTATACATCTGTAAAAATGTGTATTTTTATTATGAGGTTGTATAAAGGCAATTGTAAAGGGAAATGTATTAAAACTGTTATAGAATAACAAGAAGTCAAAAGACAACCCAATATTTCCTATTTGTCCTCAGACTATAAAACAAGGATCAGAACCATTTCACATCCAACACATTTCACCAGAACTCAATGCTCTGTGAGATTCTGGAATTTATACTCATTACTTCAGACTAAATACAAGCATCATCTCCATCCAATACTGAAAAAGGGAAGCAGGGGGAAAAACCCTTCAAACACAACAGTGAAGCCGTTTCTGCACTTGTGCACTCACCACACCAACCTCTTTTCTCACAGCTTTTCCCCCCTTTCCCAGATAAAGAACGACTTGGGGTTCAAAAGAACATGAGGAAGTTGGTAATCCCAAGAGTCACATAGCACTTTATTAAATAAGAAGTGATTCCAAACCACTCCCTTCTCTCCTCCTCTCCCTAACTAATGTTCCAGAAAAATCTGGCAGTGGGTCTGATCCATTTGTTGTTGTGATTCTTTTTTAATTAGTGCCCCAAGGAGACCTTAGAAGTGAAAAATAGATTATTTACACGATCCCTGGCTCTTTGTTACACCCTACCGCTGCCTTCCCTTATAATACGAAACATCACAAGGGTGGTACACCTAGCACACTGTACATGCTATGGAACTGTAAAGTTAAAGTCTTAGAAAGATGTTTTACAATACTGCTCAAGGTTTGTTTACATCTGTACATAGCAGCAATGGAGATGCATATATTTTCAATTATGATTTGTTACAAAACAGTCTTTTCTTTTTTTTACTTGAATCCAACATTATTTATACTTCACATTAATGTGGTCAAAATTTTTTAAGTGAGGCTTTAAATTTCACATGCTGTAACTTGATACATACAAATTTAATCTCTTGCCACAATGAATCTGTCTGTGTGAGGATTCACTGTGGCGACCCCTAATGAGAAAAAGCCAAAAGTGACATTCATTCATTCATTCCTACAATTAATCTAATTGCTTATGACTGTAGGTCATCCTCAGGTGTTGTCCATGTGACCTCAGTGACATATTTAAGAAATACTTGCTTTTTATATTTAAGAATTATTGTGAAATGAGAACAATAGAACCTAACACTGACACAATAATAAAGTCCACAATGTTAAATCAATAATAAATTGGTACATCCTTGTATGCAAATGCTGTGGTCACTGCATAATCTGAAATACTCATGAAAAGAGGGAAAAAATGCATTTACACATGCAGACAAGAATTTTGTCAGATCATTGCTGTAGGTATTGGAACATAGTAAGCAATGGAAGGGCTATGAGTTTGAAACATTTTTTGGACACTGCCATGGCAAAAAATCCTTGAGCAGTTTTTGTTGATTCAACAATTTTGGTTAATGGGTACCACATCTATTCCACAGCCTGTAATTACAACAGCTCAGTTTCCAATCTCTGCTTCGCATGCTGGGATGCTTCACAAGTCTTCCTTGCGGTCGCCAATTTTCCGCCATTTCTCAGGCCCATCCCCTGCCTGATTTTAAGAACAAGTTAGAGAACATATATGGAAGAGATAGCCCTTGCTGTAAGACAGGTGACATAGACAATGTCACATTATTGCTCCACAACTACTCCCAAGACACTCATGTCAAGCATTGTGGGAAAAAGGTTTAAGGTTACACTCCCAAGCACAGAAAACCTATTTCTCTATTTTGTTCCATTCTGGGCCCCAGGTTTGACTGACAGGGTGGCAGTATCCAGTATTCAGAGACCAGGAAACCGACCATTCCCTTCCCGAGGATGTTCTTGGAATACCCAGAAAATCTGTGCAGTACTGGGGAGGTGCCCAGAGATTCACTGAAGTTACAACTCCCATTGTCAAAACAGTAGATAAATGTGAAGCTTTTTTTTTTGCTGATTAAGCCAATTACTTACATATATACAAATATAATTTTGCTGGAGAACACCCATTTTGTATTTGAAAATGGCAGTGTTACAAAAAAATAAAATATGTAGCTTTTTCGTCAATCGTATCTTAGACACCCTGAGTGGGACAAAATCTGGAACCATCCTTACTTATAAAAAGTAAACATGTTTTGCCAGTCATTGCTGTTTTTAGTGTTAACAGAGATACAGTGGGTACGGAAAGTATTCAGACCCCCTTAAATTTTTCACTCTTTGTTATATTGCAGCCATATACTAAAATCATTTAAGTTCATTTTTTTCCTCATTAATGTACACACAGCACCCCATATTGACAGAAAAACACAGAATGTTTGACATTTTTGCAGATTTATTAAAAAAGAAAAACTGAAATATCACATGGTCATAAGTATTCAGACCCTTTGCTGTGACACTCGTATATTTAACTTAGGTGCTGTCCATTTCTTCTGATCATCCCAGAGATGGTTCTACACCTTCATTTGAGTCCAGCTGTGTTTGATTATACTGATTGGACGTGATTAGGAAAAGCCACACACCTGTCTATATAAGACCCTACAGCTCACAGTGCATGTCAGAGCAAATGAGAATCATGAGGTCAAAGGAACTGCCTGAAGAGCTCAGAGACAGAATTGTGGCAAAGCACAGATCTGGCCAAGGTTACAAAAAAATTTCTGCTGCACTTAAGGTTCCTAAGAGCACAGTGACCTCCATAATCCTTAAATGGAAGACGTTTGGGACGACCAGAACCCTTCCTAGAGCTGGCCGTCCGGCCAAACTGAGCTATCGGGGGAGAAGAGCCTTGGTGAGAGAGGTACAGAAGAACCCAAAGATGACTGTGGCTGAACTCCAGAGATGCAGTCGGGAGATGGGAGAAAGTTGTAGAAAGTCAAAGAAAGTCAACCATCACTGCAGCCCTCCACCAGTCGGGGCTTTAGGGCAGAGTGGCCCCTATTAGAAGGTACGTATTCGAGGTGTACCATGGATAAAAGACATTTAAATTGATTATAAAGCGCACAGAACCATACAAATAATGTGGGGATGGCCAGTGATTGTTTTATGTCACTCAGCGGCTGCATTGGTTAAGCTCAGTTTGGCTGGACGGCCAGCTCTAGGAAAGGGTCTGGTCGTCTTAAACGTCTTCCATTTAAGGATTATGGAGGCCACTGTGCTCTTAGGAACCTTACGTGCAGCAGAAATTTTTTTTTGTAACCTTGGCCAGATCTGTGCCTTGCCACAATTCTGTCTCTGAGCTCTTCAGGCAGTTCCTTTGACCTCATGATTCTCATTTGCTCTGACATGCACTGTGAGCTGTAGGGTCTTATATAGACAGGTGTGTGGCTTTCCTAATCACGTCCAATCAGTATAATCAAACACAGCTGGACTCAAATGAAGGAGTAGAACCATCTCAGGGATGATCAGATGAAATGGACAGAGCCTAAGTTAAATATATGAGTGTCACAGCAAAGGGTCTGAATACTTATGACCATGTGATATTTCAGTTTTTCTTTTTTAATAAATCTGCAAAAATGTCAAATTCTGTGTTTTTCTGTCAATATGGGGTGCTGTGTGTACATTAATGAGGAAAAAAATGAACTTAAATGATTTTAGCATATGGCTGCAATATAACAAAGAGTGAAAAATTTAAGGGGGTCTGAATACTTTCCATACCCACTGTATGTATGGAATGAGACTGAGAAATTATAAAAAACGTTGGTTGGCTTTCTTTTACAGTATGGCATTTGCTTTAAGCAGCATCAATAAAATGTAAATACATGCAGAACATTATCAAAAACAATTTTTAAAAAAAGCTTTTAATTTGACTCTGGCCTTCTCAGCATACACGTTGACCACAACACTTTGAGCTCTTGCACACTTTTGTTGTGACATTCAGCCTATCCTTTGCTTTAAAAAGAAGCATATCCTGGTACAGGAGCGCTCTTAAGTTTAAATATAATGGAGGCAACCTGCCCATAAAAACAGTCCTATCCATTTTAAAACCTGGCTTCCAAATCCAACTTAAAATCTTCCAACAGCAACAAAAGCATAAAACAAATAAAGATGACCTTGACAAAGTGAAGGTGGGAGTGAGACAGAGGGAAGTAGCAGGCAGCAACTGTGGCTATTCATGAAACAAGATAAAGACAAGGTTATTCTTCTATGCCACAGAGAGATTAAGTGGGGTGGGGTGCATCAGAGCAAGGTAAAGATTATTAGTGTTTTAGCAAGACTTGTATTTATTTAAACCTGACAGCTGACAAAGTGAAAAAAATCTTCACATGGCAAAGCACAAATGTGTATGCTGTCTGTAGCACACTGACAGCTGAGAGAAAATGTTTACTAAAGCAATCCAGGTCAGCATTATACAGGGAAACTTGTTGAACATCTTTGGGTTGAGGCAGGTGTACCCAAAATAAACAAGGTCATTGTTTCTTTTGAAAACTGTGTTAAAGATTTATTTTTCCATAGCCTAGTCTTTATGGAAACAATCAACAGCAGGGACATTATGCTTTAGGTTGGTGGTGTGGGATTAGCAGACCAAGTTATGCCATTTTACAGCAATGAACTGTAAAAACTGAACAGCAGAGAGCAAAGAGAGAGAAAGAGTGCCAAGAGAAGTAAGGATTATTTATGGCTGGTTTGTGTTACAAGCTTAGGACACAGCAGGCTTTGGACCTGAGTTCAGTAGCCAGCAAGGGAGAAGGTAGGACAGGAGCTCAGTCCTGTTCACCCAGGGTGGGGGGTCTGAAAGGTCCAGTAAACATGTCTGCCACTGACTAAGGCCATGAATAGGCTGGTCAGCACTGTGGTTTAGGTCAGAAAGGCCAAAGAAAGTTTACCTTAGCAAACTTACACCGCTAATACCAAAGTGCCTCAGCAGATTTAAAGACCACCAAAAAGTAAAGCCAAGACAAATTCTACAGTGGAGGAAATGTTCTTTCCCTGCTTCTTGGTCTTACCGTGTTGGTGGGGTCATCTTGGAGAATGGCATCATAGTGCTTGTTGGCCTCATCATACCTTCAGAGAGAGGGAAAGAACAACATTTGCTTTTTTAATCAACTGCTGTACAAAGTTGAGTAAAATTAAGTGACAGAAAAATCAAAGAGAGTTGAATGTAATCAAGTGTCTGTATGCAATGTGGCAGGCTCCTGAGATTACAGTGAGGCTGTACGGAAATCCGTGGTTTTCTAAACATTAATTTAAGTTTAGGGTGCTTGTCACACAGTGGACATTGTGATAGGCTTGTATCACCTAACAGCAAGTCATGAAGTCAATACAAACAGAGCACACTGGTTGGAAGATTGTATTTTCCTTTGAGTGAATTTGGTTTGATTTATCTTTAAACAAAATTAAATAGCTGCTTTTATATCTGTCCATATCCACTGCTAAGATACAGTATTTGTTGTCTGTCTCTTGGCCTGTACATAATACCGCAGTACATTCTGTATATATACACAGTATGAACATGATAAGCACCAATATTCAACACAGCATGCCTCAAACTGTTGGGCTGAGCCCACATGATTCTGTTTAAATGGGAATTTTATGAGCTGTAAATATCACATCATACAGTAATGAAATCTGGGAATAAGAGGCATGTGCACTTCACCTGTCATGTCAAATGAGGCGCTGAAGGATATTTACATTTTTTTTCCTCCTATTAGGGACAATCTAGAGACACCTAGATGTTGTAGCAGCAGAGGCAGGGGTTCAGTGATTATAAACTGCCCTGCATACAACCTGCAACAGACAGAAGCAACTCTGGTTCCTATTAGCACTTAGTTAATACTCCACTTACAGAACTGCTGGTTCCCTCACATTCACTTTATTACTCAGACACACTTCAGGAGTTTTCAGATGGCACCAGGCAACCACTCATGAGCCACTTTGATTTACTCTATTTATTTAGGAAACATATGTGTGCATGTGTGATGGGGGAATGACCTTGCTGTTTGAAGCTGTGTCATTCATGTGTAGCTCTGTCTGCTGCCAGTGAGATCCCAGCATACCATTTATTTAATCTGCCAGAAAGCAATCACTCTTAATTGTCACATAAACTCTGCAATAACCGATCAACCAGTAATGGTGACCGAGTGGGGAATGTAAGCAATATAGTAAACAGATAGAATTACACTTCTTTAAGGTCAGTACAGACAGACATACTCCCTGTTTATCTTTCTTGCTCACACTCCCCATTCTGCTAGCTTTTTTATAAACTGCAGATTCAACAATAACACATATAATTGGGGGGGGCATAGTTGAGATTGTGGTGAATGTCAGCATTTACAGGGCCAGAGACATACTTGCTGTACAGAGGCCAAAACAGGACAGGAAAGAAAGCATGAAAACAGGGAGGGGAAACATACAAAGAGAGATGAGGTGAAACAAATTAAGGAAACAATAAGGAGAAAGAGAAACCAGAAAAGATTGAGGGACCCCGAGAATACCAATGGGATCTGACCACTTCCTTCCCGGGAATCCCTAAATCAGGCTAAAGGGCCACAGGACTACCCAGTACTGAACTTTTGCTCTCTCTGTTTTCCACAAAACATGGGTGATCCAACATAAACACACCCTACCACCCACACATGCTGCACTTATACACACACACACACACACACACACACAGTACCACTTAAGATCTATTAACAGCTTCTCGGCCCCAAGCCTCCCAAAGCATCATACATAACAGTGAGGGTTAGTTTTTGGTACACAATGCTTACCTTTCCAAAGCTTCCAGCCTCATCCCCGCCAATCGCTTCACTCTGTGGCTATCTGGAAACTGCTTCTTCAGTTCCTGTAGACAGGTCTACAAGGACGTGGGCAGAGGATAGAGAGACCAATTAAACCTGGCTGTAAATTAACTTTTATATGACATTCTTGTTCTCACAGACCTCTACAGATAGTTTTTCTGAGACAAATCACCTGCCTTGAAAATGTTTGATTTTGTTGTTTCTGTTAAACTTATTATAATTAATATAAAAGCTGTCAAAAGGAAAACCTCAAAGTCGTAAGGTCTTTTTACATATAGAGCACTAAAAATGCAGTATAGCAATTTTTTTTCAGAGGCGATTTAAATGCACCACATGTATTCACACCAAAGGCAACACAATTATGAGATGTGAAGCTCTAAAAGGCTGCATTACAAAAAGTCCACATCAAGCGATAACAACCTGCAGGTGAAGGTTCTGTTAAATACAAGGAGGGAATCCTATATTGATAAAAAGGCAACTTGTAAAGTTTCATTGCTTGGTGCAGGGGATGAAACTGTACCATGGTTGTTTCAGACCCTACATCAGGATGTCTGTGGGACAATTCGAGGAGTTGTTGCTGCTCACACAGCACTTGAAGAAGCAGAGCAGCAATTTAAAAAGGCATGATCGACTGGGAATAGTGCCTGGCCATATGTCTGAAGTAAAATATAAACTGAACACCACTTCAATACATACATCAGATAGATTTAGCCGACGGGTGCACTATGCACTCATGGTAACAATGTCACAACATTCCAGCAAGCTGCATTGTGATTGGTCACATGCTCCTGTCACCAGCAAAAATTTGAAGAAAGAAAGAGAAAAGAAAAAAAATGCTGCTTTTCACTCAGCAATATTCTGTCAATCATGTGCAAGGGTTCATTGACAGAATACTGGTTTGAAAATTAAATGCCAGTTCTGAGTTGGGACGCACGCCACATTTCTTCCTTGACTACACAAAGTTTGAATATGTTTGATCATGCAGTAGTCAGGGAGGTGAGAATGGTTATAATCACATTCAACAATATGCTGAATGAGGGAGAAGAGTGTGCAGAGTGACCTGAATTATTTTCTCTATCCATCATTTGAAGTCTGGTCCTTGTTCTTTTTTCCCAAGTCTGGCAGTCGGGCCACTAGGATGGCCAGCAGACAACTATTTCTAATGAGTGAGTCCTGCCTTCATTGTACTCTGTGAGTCATTCTTTTTGCCAAGGGAGTCGTTACGTCCATACTGACTGGAGATGAACCATTTCAATTACTATGATGTCTTTTTTTTTTCTTTTAATCTTGTGCAGATTTGACCATTTTCAGAGCTATGAATATTTCAAAACATGAACTCTGAAACATCACATTAAGCTTTAGGATGGCAAATAAATCATGAGGAAAAAAGCAATTGAACACCATAAATGATGGCCAAGTTCAGCAAACACTTGAAGCATGCTTCTCCACTCATCTGCTGCTACACCCTCTAATTCCAACTCTCGGCAAAATGTTTTTCCAGAGTAAGGACACATTAATACCATTTGGCCAAATAAAAATATGATTTTCACATCTGGCAATGTGTGTGCTTCAAAACAGAAATGGCTCTGAGAGCATGAATGATGTCTTTGAAGCTCTTGGGTGTGTGAGGAAGCGCAGTAAAAACCTACCAGAGCCAAGTCATCCCGACTGCAGTCCAGCGCTGCGATCATCACCTGCTCATAAATAATCCATACTGGGCAGAAGAGACAGACACAAAAAAAGACTGTGATAGCACCCTTTCCATTCCATGGTGTGGTGTAGCATGAAAAATATTATACATTGAACTGTACACTTGAAGTAGCATCTTAAAGAGTCTGTACATGCATCTCGTGTGTTTTTTACACGCACAAACAAGCTTCCATATGACAAAACATCTTAAGAGTTAGAAACTTAAGAGTTCATAAAATGGCACATTTTCGGTATGGAAAACATTAATGTTCATATTACTTGTTAAAAACCATACACTCACTATGTTCAAATTACTTGTTAAAAACCATACACTCACTTTAAACTTGGACAGCCCTGCAATAACAGAAACAATCCAATATCACCATAATGTGGCATGCGACACCCTTGTGTAAGGGTTTAAAGTCATGTTATTTGCCAACAGAATGGTGGTAATAATAAAATAAAATTCAGTAATAATGCTACATTTACAATATAATGAAAAGCCATCTCATTTGTTACAATCATCCCTCAGTTCCAGATGAAATTTGAACTAGCAGAAAATTACCCTCCAAACCCACGCACACTTCATTTTCACCATTATTAAATGTCCTCTTCACACTCTGTACTAGTATGGATTACACATGAAAAAGGTGACCTTCAAAGATACTTGAGGAAAAGAGGAGTGTCACATAAAAGAGGACATCATTTTTCTCCATGTAAAAGCACTGCTAGCACTGTTAACAACTCTGCTAATGCTCTGCAATGCCAAAGTAGCTGAACTAACATTTCTGTAAATGCTCTGCTGAGATGTTTATCTTCCCTCACTCTGGGCAGCATGGCTGTATTAACAGTTACTGCAACCCATATGCCACTAAAAATAAAACATCTGTGTCAACATAAATGCAACATAAAATACATGTGATCAGTGAATGACACTTTTCACCACTGAGAAAAAATATTAATCAATCCTGACATTATAGTGAATTATTTCTGGAAAATGATGAAAGCTCTAATCCCCAGAATCCATAGGCAGGTTATAAAAAGCCTTTTGCACATCTCTGAAAGGCTATCTGAAGTTTCTGATTCCTGACTACGGTTTCACTTTGTCACCATGGGTGATTAAATATATAACAATGGGTAGAAATAGCAATTGTATTGATTCAAAATTGAATCCACAACATAATAAAATGTATAAAAAGTAAAGGGGTCGGAATACTTTCTGAAACCACTGTATCCTGTCTAGACCATACGACTTTGGAGAGTTAGTCACTGCTGCACTTTGGGGTCTGTGCTTCAGCACATTTGACATTCTTACACTCTGGACTGTTTTGTGGCTTCATAAAGTATTCAGGCTCCTTCACTTTTTGCACACAATGTTGTACATTTAATTTTAAATGGATAAATTGTGATGTTTGCCCATAAATCTACACTCACTAACCTATTATATAAGAGAATAAATATGTTTTTGCACATTTTTAAATATGTTTTAAAAATCAAAAATTGAAATCTCTCATTTATAAATCATTCGACTCTGGTATTAGCTATGTGATGAGCAGTGCCCAGTGTTCTCTAGACGTAGCGCTTGGAATTTTGCCCATAAATACTTCCTAATCTAACCAGTGAATCTTCTTCCTCATGCTCTCAAGGTCCTTTAAATGCTGTTTGACAGCCCATGCTACCATAAAGGGCTGACTGATGAGTGCCACCGAGAAGCCAGTCCTTCCAGCAGGTTCTCATATCTCTGCAGAGAAACATGCAAAGCTTTAAAATGGCTTTATACCCTTGCCCTGATCTTTCCTGCACTACAATTTTATCACAAAGGTCTAGAGTGAGTTTCTTGAACTTTGTACCTTAGTTTTTGTCCTGATATTCAGAGTGAATTGTGGGACCTTATATACACGTGTTTTTCTAAACTATGTCCAGCCAGTTCAGTTTGTAACAGGTGGACTTCTTCTAAACACTTATCAAGGTTAATTAATGCAGACATGAGGTGGGGTGCCACAGCAAAACCTCTGCAAGCTTCCTTCATAAATGAGAGATTTCAAAAAATTTTCACTTTGTTGTTCTGATTTGGTAAGTGTAGACTGATGGGCAAAATGGCACTTTTATCAATTTCCACTGAAGTCTACAGCACAATAAAAGGTGCTAGAGTTAAGGGCTTTGGATACTTTATGAAGCCACTAGCTGTAGCAAAGCATGCTGAGCACCAGCATGATCAAGCACATCATGTAACATATTTTACTTGGTGGTTAGCCATAAAAAAAAATGTTTATTGAAATGTTTTTTTAATCAGTCAACTGTAACATTATAACAAACTGACTAATAGCCTGGCTACAGAAGCAAATTAAGAGAATTAAGGCAACATGTTAGACAGACAGCTTTGACAAGCACACTGGACATATTCAACCAAACGAACACCCTGTTAATTGAAAAGAATAACAAAATCCCACTCCACCCAAAACCCAGCATGTAATGCCAAAATAAACAAATGCCCAGAGTTCTACTAGACCTTAATGATTCCACACACTTTTTTTGACAACTGCAATCTCATTTCACAGCCAGTTTAAGAGCTGGTTTGAATAAAACTATTAAACCATCGCATTTTAAGTCTTTTAAGGACTGTATAAATAATAGTGACTAGGGAAAAAGGGAGCATTTTATGGGGTAATGCAGAGGGACGGCACTGGTATAGATGAAACCATAACACTCAGAGTTGCTTCAAAAACAAAATTTGAAAAAGAGAAACAGCAATATACTGTACTTAGTACATTACTAGGAAACAAACTATACCTACATTTCTCAATTTGCCTTTTCAGATATGTCTGTGCCTATCTGTGTTCGCCACACCACAGGAAACTTTAGATGAATGAATGTCACTTTCGGCTTTTTCCCGTTTAGGGATCGCCACAACGAATAGTCACACTGACGACTCACATGTTGACATTTGGCATGTGTTTTACGCCAAATGCCCTTCCTGACTTTGAACCCGGGCCGCAGCGGTGAAAGCGCTACCAGGGAAGGCCTACCACAGGAAACTTTAGATCCTGTTCAGAAATGTATCCAACAGAATAGTAGCCTATTGTATATACCACAAAAGACAAATTTTAAAAAGTTCTAGCAAACAGAACATTGCTTGCATAAATCACATCTCACATAATTGTAGAGATGAACCCACAGTCAATAACAGTAGCCTGACTGTTTCTGTATGTTACAAAGCAACAGAATCTCAAAGTGTATGCCTGCTGATGTTTTCTCTGAAATGTCAAATTATATACCAGTTTAACTGGTCTTCCAGCACTTACTGTCATCTCCCAGTTTTGATGCATGTTCACTGATGAGCTCTTCTCCAACGTCCACGATCTGCTCACTATTTCTGCAGCTATCTTCTCTCCATTTACGCAGCTTATCTCTCATCTCTGTGGACAAAAAGCAACAGCATCACCACAACTTTCAACTTGATTTATCCTGTGTAGACTGTGTGTAAACAGGACTGCAATAACTTTCACAACTTGGGAAGAAAGTGCGGGACAAAAGAAACAACACTGTTATACGCAAAAACGTTGTTTATCAGTTTTCCTACATTTAAACTACTGTCAATGATGAGACAACATTACTGGGGCTATTCGGGCACATCTAACGTTAAAGAATGCTAATTACTTTCATATATCATACGATGTGCAGATTGTAAAGAATCTGGAAGCAAATTTGTGATAATGGGCTACACAAAAACTGACTTGACTGCATTTAGCTTAGAGTTTAACGTTGACATTAACAAGAAAACAGATACAACCCACTACGAATACGGTTTGTACTACCTCTAGTAGCAGTAGTGCACAAAAAGCAGCAGTAAAACTACGGAGCTGCTGCTCTGTCTTTTAACGTTACGTGTCCAGATAGCAGTCACCCACTCTGACGAAGCTTTAGCAGTTAGCTGACATTAGCCGTAGCCTTCACAATATGACCTGGCCATCATGCTGCAGACGATACAGGCATCGCTTTCTAGTAAACATCGACCGTCACCTTTACACCAATATCAGCTAAACCGAAGCTGACAGCCCTTAAACTGTATGAGGTAACGTTACAGTATGCATGAAGCCGATGGGTTAGCACACTATGCTTAGCATTAGCTAAACACTTTACGTTGACTGCACGTTGTATTTGCGGTCTGGGACCTCAACCACTTTACCAGATACTCCGACACAGAGGAACGCTAAATGCCTTCATATATGTGTGTCATTTACACTTGGTGAGGATCTATTTTATGTTTCAACTTACCTTCCCAACCCACATCGTACATTTCTGATACCGACGCCATTTTTTTTGTTTTGTTTTTAGAACATATGTGGTGCGCCTACAACACGTAGTTGCTGGCTGTGGGCGTGGCCTGACGAAATGCAAGTGAAGAAGAAAAAGAATTTCTTATACCTCATTTCTATTAATAATATTATTCTTAGTTTCTTGTTTTATAATGTAATACGACGTGTATGATATATTTAAAAGTCTCAAATATGTAGATTTCACCTAGTATATTTTAACAGATTCACCTAATGTTTTGTCCATGACCTGCTTTCAAGTTTTCTTAAGGCTGGTAATTCTTACTTTCAAGACAAAACTGCATATGCTTTGGTTTGTCATGTGGCAAATAAGATTCCAATAGCCTTCACTGTAATCCTACAGTTGCATACCCATTGCACTGTTCAGCAGTCAACTACATGTAGCAAGATAGCAGCAGACATTGACAATCCAGATGGTGGCATTCTCATGCTTCATTTCCATTTTTATATAATCCCCCTCCTAAGTATTGGGTAGGAGAATCAATTGAACCTAGAATATATCAGTTTCCTCTGAAAATATGAAATGTGCTTACCAAGCATGTCTATGATTTTATCCTGATTTCCCTTAAGACCCTCTGTGAATCTCATCCCCCTGCTGTGTATGGTTGCTTACACACTTCTCTTACCACATTACACACTTGTTGATGTGGATTCAGCACAAACTTGCTTACAAAGACATTTCAGAGATCTGATGTCATATCCAGTGCTGCTCACTGAGCAGACCCTACTGTGATGCATAATTTGTCCTTGTGTTATTATGAAAGGTCAACAAGGAGATGTCTTTTTTTTTTTTTTTCAAAACAAAAAAAAACACTGATATAGTAAAAGAGCCTAACATCATCAGTAATGGGTAAGTGCAAGTGGAAAAGGGAACGATCAAATGTCATCATGTCTGTCAGGGATACAAATAATAACACTTTACAATTTAAGTTATGCTCAGCTTTGGCAATCTGTACATTTGTAATTTTGAAATCGGCACATGGCAGTCAGTTGCTATGTGGTTGGGCTTTTGCTAGAGCAGAAAATACCAAAGAAACCACATCATAACAATCACACACTGTTCCAAGGTGCCACTGAAGGCCAGTCCCATAATATTGACCTGTCATAAACACCATGCAGCGGGTGTGGCTCTTGGGATTGTACGACATGATATAAAAGAGCTCTGTGAACAAGCTGTCTATAAGTTTGAGATGTTGCTGGACATGGTGGTGGTGGTAAAAAGCTTCTTGACATAAGGTGCCTGTTTAACTTGGAATAGCTTTCTTGTACAGAATGTCATAACATGGAAGATCAACTGCAGCCATTTTAAAACCCAACTTGTACTACTTGACTGGTGCTTACGTGGGTTTCCATGCTCTAGAAGCACCCACACATGGCACATGGCACATGGGACATATATATTCCCTTTCAGTCTCCATGTATGAAATTCCAATAGAAACTTCACAGGCATTATATTTTGATTTCTGACAGAACCAATTGGCCCTGGCAGTCTCTAAAATGAACAGTTATTGAGGTAAGGCTGAGGTGCTCTCTGTGGTTTTGAAATAGTCCCTGTTCCATTTAGATTTCTTTACATTGGTGTTGTATAGTGAGTTGTGGAAAATGAAGACAAATGCAATTAGCAACAATGTTTGGACTCACTCAGCCCTCTGGAGCCGATGACAGTGTGTTTACTTTGAAATCTGATCAGGTCTCTTGTCACACTATGAATAACTGTACAGATGACTTTGGCACGCCTTGTGTCTGATGGACTCCCCGTATTGCTCCTTTAACCTCACCCGTATCCTGTGTGAGAGGCCTTGAGCAGGAAATTTTTAAATTTTGGCACATCAGAGTTACGTAGGCGTCCCCACTTTCTTGCTCTTCTCTCCCTTGGCTTTGGTGCCAAGAACAATATTCAGCCCCATGTCAAAGCAGCACCACTCTGGTAATTGACATTACTCACACGGTACAAATCTTAAGATGTATTGCTCCCCTGACTCCTTATGTAGTAGTGTGATTGCTTATGGTGGCCTGGTATATTACCACATGTAGCATATTATGTATTGCTTGGTTGGCTTCAATAGCCAGTCATCCCATCTCATTAAATTTGAACAAGGATTTAACATCGCCATGCATGAGACTAACCTCCAGCAGACTTCAGCACAGACTGTAGGTGATTTGCCATATTCATCATAAGAAGTCATGGTAATTTAGAACTGCAAAATGTGTTTGACATCATAAATTTAACTTCACATGAACACATTACTTTGCTCCTCTTGGAATTTATTACAGTTAAAAAAAATGTATCATATTGGAGGACTTTGCATTTAAGCCTATAACCCTTATGCAGTCTTTGATGTATAAGAGGGGATTCAGAAGAAATGTGACACATCAGAGTCAAATGTTGAAAACTTTTTTCTGTTGTATATCTTGCAATTTGCGGTAAATGGTGGAGTTCATGTATTCCAGCAGCAGTTTTTGTATTGGTCCAATTTGAAACATAAAGCACTTCTATAGCCTCAGATGATCTAAGCTGAGGTTTGACACTCACTGGTCTTATTTTATATCTGTTATTTCAAGAGTGGTTTTATTCAGGAGCCTCAACTTAGCCAAATAAATACATACAATAGCAATGACTAGAGAAATGTATATATGACAAGGAATATTCAAATCCCATTCCCCTTGAAATGGAAGCCCGACTCTGAAAAGTCTGATGCTATTAAAGTTCACTTTTATTTTCTAGTAAGAATGTTCATTACTGCAGATTAGAGATAGTGCCATGTTCTCTGTAATGTCATGTTTTCAAAAAAACTTGCAGAGAAAAAGTAAAGTTATGCACAACAAAAGGAGCAATCATGAGAACAGAGCTTGTTGAGGAAGGATTAAAAGGATCAACTGTGCGCCTGATGTGATATTGCTGATGAGTGTGAATACTAGTCACTACTAGTTTGTGTAGTAAACATGTAGTGATATTATGGTGCCATTGGGTGCTTCCTGGCTTCCTGAGATCTTGTATTGTTTTCTGGCCCACAGGTCTGGTCGATAACCTTTATCCCCTTGCCATCAAGTGTGACAGTGCTGAAGTCAGCACTGGGCTCTGAATCAGGAACGTGGGCCTCTGATTTATAATCTGACATGCACTCAGAGGTGATGCATATTTAAAAAGTTTACAGGAGAATTATTGAAATTCATATGAGATGCTGGAATTTGGATGCAGAACATGGATGCTTGGCTTTGCACCATCCCGTAGCAAGTCATTTGTCTTCAGATCTTATTGATTTACAGTATATTTTTACAGTTATTAGAATGAGGCCAGTGGTGGGTGTCTTTGGCAGTATCATCTTCACGCTCTCTCTCGGAGTCATTTGTTGACCAAGAAAGCTTTCAGGGAACTAGACAGCTGAGGTTTTTCATGGAATATTTGGTCCATCACTCCAGAGACCTTTGAGTTTATCCCATTCAGATTAAGGAGTATTTTCTGACAAACACATAGAATGACAGATAACTGTTTTGCATGCTGAACTGTCTTGGTGTTCCTGACAGCATACCCGGGTTGAACCTGAATATCATGTGTGGCCAAGGCTATTACTGCCTGCAACTGCTTCGTCCTAAACAGACACATGCTTTGATTTTCAGAGAAAGAAATGGTAAATGTTTATGTTTACTCCACTTTTATGAGCATTGTTTAAAAGTTAGTTTATAATTTTGCTAAGTCCAAACCTCTTACAGTAATTCCCTAGACTGCATATACTACTGGAGTTACTAGGAACAAATCATTAGTAACATTCAATCTCTTAGTTAGGTTGGCTGTGAAGCACCTTAGCAAGAGGAGCTGCAAAAACACTGCCAGAACAATGTTGTTAGTAAGAAGACCACCAGCAAATGTATCCACAAAAAGAATGAATCTAGCAAACAATCAAAGTGAAGTACAGTATGTTTAGGCCCATGTTTTCAATAACTGTGCATACTTGCATAATGAAATAGCTTGAGATTTTGGGAAATATACTTTTCACTTCCTTGCCAAGAGTGAGATGAGAAGACTGATACCACTCCCTGAACGCTATAGCCAATCTTTCTGCTTAGCTTAGCAGAAAGATTGGAAATCGGGATAAATAGCCTCTACCTACTGGCTTCTTGGGTTTTTTTTTTATTTTTTTATTATCGATCTGAAGTGTAAAAAATGCTACATTTTAAGTTTACATGGGAGTCACAAGGAAACATTTTTCTAGTCATAGCAGTGAATTCCTGGCAACCTGATGCTGACAGTAAGACCTCAGGAATTCGGTGCTCTTGGTCATATTCAGGCACAGAACCCTTGGTACTCCTTTGTCCTTTGTAAATTTGTTGTTTTCAGAATTTTGTAAAGGCTAAATGCTTCCCTCGGTTTCCTGTCTTTATGGCTAAGCTAAGTGTTTCTCTGACTCCAGATTCACAATGAAAGGACATGATTGGTGTTCACCTTCTCATCTAACTCCAGTTCCAAAATGCCAAACGTCTTTAAGTCTTTAGTTTGCTTTGCCTCTCTCCCTCATCTTCAATATAAATTTATTGAACCTCACAAATTTACAGTATAATACATGTTATTTATTTATAACCCTTTATAACCCATGGGCTGAGCAGGCCCTAGTGGCACAGTGGCTTGGATCGTACTGTTTGGTTTGTAAATTTCAACAAGTGCTTTTTCTGCAGAACTCATAAAATTAACAAAAAAAAACCCTATACATATTCTGTAAAAGAGAACATTTACATGCACCATAGCAATTTTTAAAATATGTCTGGAGGGGTTAAACTGATTTTATATGCTTTTGTGAGTTCAGCATGTTATCAGCACGATACCATCTAT